TTTATTGAAAAACAATTTTCTTTCTTTCTTTCTTTCTTTCTTTCTTTCTTTCTTTCTTTCTTTCTTTCTTTCTTTCTTTCTTCTTTCTTTCTTTTTCTTGTGGTACCAGGGATTGAACTTGAGACCTTGCACTTGCTAGGCAGGCACTTATATTACTGAGCTATAGCCCCAGTCCTGAAAATCAGTTCCCTATGTTTTGTCAGAAGGATTATTCTTAATTACATCCTCATAGCTTCCCCTTCTGCCATGATCTAATGTAAAAAGAAACCTTATCAGAGGGAGGGAGGGAGGGAGAGAGAGAGGGACAGAGAGACAGAGACAGACAGAGACAGCGAGACAGTGAGAGAGACAGAGACAGAGATAAGGAGAGCAACAGAGAGAGAGAGAGACAGAGAGAGAGAGAGAGAGAGACAGAGACAGACAGACAGAGACAGAGAGAGACAGACACAGAGAGACAGAGAAAGATGGATCAAGTTTCACTAAATGTCATGCACTACATGAAGCACCCAACACCTTACAATTGTAAGCCTTCTATTTCTGCGTACTGCAGCACTGACTATGTCCCGCCGAGCAGATGTCACTCCATCCCTGCATCAGAGCCGCTGGCTGCGCAGTGTCAGCCTGTAAGTGACTTTGCTTTGGCCAGTGATAAAGCGCACACCTTTCCCCTGGGAGCCCGGCATTTAACTGTGCTGGATTGTTTACATTTGTGTTTCCAATTCATCCCATGACTTCAGTAAAGGCATCTCTTGTGATGGAAGTTTTTAAAAATTAAAATCAGCTAGTAGTCTGACACTATATTAGGACAAAATAAGAGCATGCAGCCCACCACTTAGCTTATCCGGTATTCTCAGTCCTGAATACCCAGAGATGCCTTGACCCAGATCAGTGTGAACAAGCCCAGCCGCCCAGCATGCATTTTCTCCCAGAGGACCAACACCGTCACACACTTACTTCAATGACTTTCTGCCCAACAGACAGACAACTTTCTTTTTATTCTGGTACCGGGGATCGAATTCAGGACCTTGCACTTACCCAGTAGGTGCTTAAACCAATGAGCTATCTCCACAGCCCTAGAGACATCACTGATGCTACTGAAAAACCTACACACACGAAGCCCGAAGCTGGCTCTGGGGCTCTGGGGCTGGTGCTTTGGGAGTGGTCCCCTGATAGCCCGCTGGTGTAACCAAGATGGGTCCCTTCCAGGTCTTCACGTTCCATTCCCTACTGTTTCTGTGACATCTCTTTAGGTTTTGCTGTCCTCATTGTAAATAACAAGCTGGTTGGCTGTAACATTTGGCTTAGCCTCTGCTTCTCAAAGCTTCGTCATCTCACCTCGCCTTGTATCACTCAGTGCTCAGCTCCTCAAGGCACCTGAGCATGGCGAGACACGCCTGTAGGTGCCACGCTGCCCACCACGGCACAGTCGCCCACACAGCGTGGAAGAGGAGTGTGATGTGTGCTCAGTGGCAACCTCAAGAGATAAGACCACAGGACGTAAAAGAGTTCTCCTTGGAAAGGCTGCCAAAGCCAGAGTAGTTTTTGAGACCCTAGATGACAAGTGACACATTTTCGGTATAAAATCTCTAGCTAATGCTTACTTTTCTTTCTTGTTTTAATTTATTTTTTTGACCAGTTTTGTACATTTATACCTGGTAATCTGAACAACTAATTTGAAGACAACAATAGGCCACATAACAACCATCGTTGAAGTCCTACTATTTTGTTTAGTGAAATTGTGTATCATGTCTAATTTTTTTAACCATTTTTATTCTCCTTAAAAACAGTAACACTATAGATTATAAAATTTATTATAGGGGGCCTGCCCCGTAGCTCAGTTCTTTAAGTGGCTGCTTCAACAAAGCAGTCAGGCTCAGGTTGTTGTGGTTTGATCCCCACAACTCAAGACAGCCAAACCTGCCCTGAAGGCATTTGGAGCAAAAAAAAAAATTATTATGTATTTTATAAAAAACTGTGCTATAAAAGGCTTTGGCATTTCCCAACACAAAAGAATAAGTGTTTGAGAAAATCTAAATGTTACCATAATTGAATCATTACATACAAAAGTTACATTTCTTGTTATATAGGTCTTGTTTTATCTTGGTCTTAACCCCCCAGCAGAAAAGTATAAAAGTGAGGTATAAAAAATAAAGCCATATTAATATGCTGAGCTGTAAAAGGCTCAAGTCAACAACTTCTGACACTGCCAGTCCTACGGATAATCCACTACTATTATGGACTACTGGACTATATTGGATTATTTTGCTGAATTCACATACCTACGAAAATGGCAATGGAATACCCATCTCTGACAAAACTAAACCAAAAAAGGGGATACAAATGAAGGACCACTTTGTATCTGTGTATAGAAAATAGTTAGGCTAGATATACAGCTACTTTCTCTTAATTCAATGAATAGAAAGAATTGTACTAATAGTTTTTGGACAGGATTTCATATCTGCATCTTGTACTATGAATAACCACTACGAAGACAGCAATATGCAATGTATTTATTGTTGAAACTGTCCTACTAATCGGTTTTGAAACTGCCTCATTGCTGTTTGTTTCTCAATAAAATTAATTAAAAAATAATTGAATCATTACACACTGTACCCAGGCACTGACTTATCGCACTGTCCCCCAGCAGTAGGTGCAATTCTTAAAAATAATAAAACAGTGACATCAAACGTTAAGAGAAATCTCCAGCGGGTGGGTACCTACTTACCCTAAAGATGAAAGGCTCTCGCTTCGCACCCTTTCAGCTGCCCTCGCAGTGCTAGCAGAAGAGGAAGCGTCTTGCTACTTGTCTTGAGCTCCAGTTTCACAACGATCTGTGGTTGGGCGTGAAGGCTGGCTTTGTTTGGGGGAATTTCTATAATGCAAGGCCCGGCCCACGAGTTTTCCTCCATTAGAGTAATTGCAATAGTGCATTAGCCAGAGCAGGACACCTTAAAATGCCTCAGAAAATGAACGAGGAAGTGGGAATGATCTTCCACAGGGTGTCCAGACAAGGGCGTGGTGTCAACTCCCGTCTTCTCCAAGGAAAGGGATCCAAGTGGGAAGGGGGCCTTTTAATTCTCACTGAGAAGGGGATCAGCGTGTGCTACAGGCGACTGTGCAGACAGCACAGTGAACACTATTCATTTGTGCACTTCATACATGCTAATCATAATTTTAAAGTTTTAAGTAAAAATTGTACTTATTGAGAGAAAGAGGAAAACAGAGAGAGAGAGAGAGAGAGAGAGAGAGAGAGAGAGAGAGAATACCAGGATATCTTTGCTTTATCTAGTTCCCTATTATAACTTCCTCAACTTACTGCTTTGGGTAAATGCCCAAATCTTGACTCTTAATCTTTGTCTTTTTTTTTTTTTTTTTTTTTGCGGAACTGGGGATTGAACTCAGGCCCTTGCACTTGCCAGGCAAGCATTTATTCTACTGAGCCATCTCCCTGGCCCCTTAAACTTTGTCCTTAATAAGGCCTTACAATGTAATCAATCATCTACTTGGCATCCCAAGTGCTGCAAACGTAGGCATGTGCCACTGTGCTTGGCCATGACGGGTAATCTTGATTCCCTTTATGATGCCAAGTAGATAAATAAAACACACCTCCATGTATGTATGTATGTATGTATGTATGTATGTATGTGTGGGCCAGCAGAGTGTGGCCTGCAGGCCATATCTGCCCCTAGCCCCTTCCTTTCTTGTTCTCTTCCCCTGTCCTGTTCCTTTACCCTAAAGCAAGCAGCTTTCCTCTTCCTACCTTTTGCCCGTGATAGTGCTGGTGACAACCAGTCATGAATGGAAATCTCTGAAATCAGGAGCCTGCATCAAACCTTTTCTCGTACAGGTCAGGCATTGTGTCCCAGCAACTGATACGGGGTAAACAACGCGACTCCCAACCTGCTACGTGTCAGATATGCCGAACGCATGTGGGTAGATGGATAGCTTTACATCTACAGGAGATGAGGCCAAAGGAGCAGTTCAGCATACACGGGCCAAATAGTGAGATCAACAATGCAACCAACAAATGCCTACTCAAGTTGAGAACAACTAGTACCTACTGAGGGCCTGGAGATAGACCCTCGAGAGAGTATCTCTTACTGCCGATCACAACTACCATTACACCCCCCTTCAGCCAGAACAGTCACTGTCCCAACCCCTCACAGCAGCTAGGAGCACCGCTGTTTATATAGACAGCTAAATTAGGTAGAAATATAGACAGTCATGTAAGGCTGGGCCTTGAGTGGGTCAGTGCAGAAGATGAACTATATTACAACTGTAGCTGGAGGCACATCTGTGGAAGCCCAGGCCTCAAGATAAAGACAGAATGGCCAGGCCTCTGTGCCTCCCCAAGGGATGAGCAATAGATTATACTAGAATTGGTACCACCTGGTCCAATGGAGTCTCACTAGACATCATTCAGCTGGGTGGGTGACCAGGGCCTCCTGATCCATCCCTTCCTGAAAAGGTCTTTGTTCTTTTCTGTCTACACTTGCTACATGACCTGCTTCCCCACTGGATCAATATTTCCTAAGTGGCTATACTTGTCATCTTATTGGTTGATCATAGTTTTCACCGACGTATCCACCTCATGAATCTGTGTTCACCTTGTGATTTTGCTCTACAGAAGTTCCTTAGAGAAGTGTGCCCACTGGCAATGGAGTTTTGGTCTCCTCCTATCTCTTGGAAGCTGTCTCTCTCAGAAAACTTTTTGTACTCTTTTTTTTTTTTTTTTTTTTTTTTCCGGAACTGGGGATTGAACTCAAGCCCTTGCACTTGCCAGGGGAGCGCTTATTCCACTGAGCTATCTTTCTGGCCCTCTTTTTCTACTATTAACCTCTGTTGCTCCTTAGGCTTCATTCTTGTATTCTGAGGAACACAAACGTGGTGTATCTGACAGCTAGCAAGTTGGGTGTTCCAATTATTTTCCCTGTATCACAACAGCAACAACAACAACAGCAGCAGCAGCAACAACAACAACAACAACAGCAATGACTGATGAAAGCTGCCTAATCATTAGAATTACAAATGCAAGCGTGTGCTCCTGTCGCACACAGCTTTACTGGAGGGAAAGTGTCGGAAAGGGAAACAAGACTCAAGTTAACATCACGCACAGGGACAAATTCTCTAGAACGAACGTGAACACTATGAAGATGTAAAATGTATCAATAAAATCTGATAAAAACATTACAGTCTCAAGGTGCCTCCATTTATTTCTGCAGAGGACACCAGTTTATCTGTCATTGTGTAGAAATACCCCTTTTTCTTTGCCCTTTCTTCTGTTGGTGGATGCACAGCCTGCTTTCAAGACGTAGCTATTATGAACTGGGTGCCATAAAGAGACAAGCACGTGACACAATGATGTGGCATCTTTAGCTCTCTGGGGGGTGGATAGTTGGGTCAAACGGAGTTTCTAGGTTTGGTTTTTTGAGGAGTCTCCCTACTGATTTCTTTTTTTAAAAAAAATTTATTTTATTTACTTATTTATTTTTATGTATGTAGTACAGGGTCCACAGGGTCTCACTACACAGGTCAGACTCGTAGTGATTCTCCTGTTTTCAGCCTCCCAAGTGCTGGGATTACAGGCGATAGCTACCATGGCCAATCTCAGTTGCCAGTGCACCCTTGGGGGCAGAGCCAGCATGGCACACCAGGGATCGAACTCCAGTCCCTGCTTCTGCCTAAGCAGGCACTTTAGTCTTGCTGAGCTATCTGGCCTACCCAGCTATCTGGCTGGCCCCTAACTTCTTATGAAGAAGAAATGTACATTGAAATGGTGAGACAGTTGTCTATACTGGGCATTAACAAATCCATTCACCTGGGTCTCTCTTGGGGAATTTGAATGAACAAACAGTAAAAATGATGTATGAGCTAGTTAACAAACTAAGAAACACAGTGCCACGACATAAGAGAATCTATCCACAGCCCCCTCCTGCTGTCTCCTTTGGGGCTCTCACTCTACCTTCATAGGGCAATCGATGATCACCCTTATCTCTCACTGTCACTGGATTACAGTCTGTTTTGCAAACGCGGGGAGCAGACTAGCAACAGTTTTGTTTGGTGTTTTCGCCTCTCAAAACCTAGGAAGCATGCAACAGTTCACTTTGGAGAATTGTGCAAAAATATCTGCTGCCCACTCTTCTGGACCAGGCCTTGAGTTCTGAGAAATTGTCTTTTATGATCTGCATTGTTCTATCATGTTCTCTGTCTTGTGGCGTTTGGACGAGAGTAGCCTTTACAAAAAGAGGAGGGCCAGAAAAGCAAAGGAGGGGTGGGGATTTTTATTTTCCCATCTTCCTCTTCCCTGTTGGGAATGCACTTTTGGATCATATGGAAGTTTTCTTCAGCAGCCTAAATCTCCTTCCAGGTTCTGAAACTTTAATTCCTCAATTTAATTCCTTCAGTCTCAAGGGAAATAAGAACACCCATGCCGCTTGCTAAACAGGGTTTCTCTCCAAGCCTCTCGTTGATTTCTTGTGGTTCTATAGTCACTTCAGAGAGAGAGAGAGAGAGAGAGAGAGAGAGACACACACAGAGAGAGAGAGAGAGAGAGAGAGAGAGAGAGAGAGAGAGAGAGAGAGAGAGAGAGAGAGCATGGAGGTGGCCCTGTGTCCTGAAGCCAGCTGTGTAGACTGCTCTGGGATAGTCATTCTGTCCCACTACGCTGGGCAATCTTCCTCTTCTTCTTGTTCTTGTTCTTCCTGTCCTTGTTGTTGTTGTTGTTGTTCTTCTTCTTCTTCTTCTTCTTCTTCTTCTTCTTGTTCTTCTTGTTCTTGTTCTTGTTCTTCTTGTTCTTGTTCTTGTTCTTCTTGTTCTTGTTCTTCTTGTTCTTCTTCTTGTTCTTCTTCTTGTTCTTGTTCTTCTTGTTCTTGTTCTTGTTCTTGTTCTTCTTGTTCTTGTTCTTCTTCTTCTTCTTCTTCTTCTTCTTCTTGT